GAAGGAAGGAAGGAAGGAAGGAAGGAAGGAAGGAAGGAAGGAAGGAAAGAAGGAAGGAAGGAAGGAAGGAAGGAAATGGTTACTACAAACTTTAAAGAGAGGTTCCCCCACTATAGAAAGAGCTCATAGGTGACCTTTTCTCAAGGCAAACAAGTCAAGTGATTTAAGAAATGTCAAAATGTTTTAAGTACCCCCAGCTTGGACTCACAGCATCTAATCAGAGTCTGCAGCAAAGAAGGTTTCTGAATACTTGTTAATGTATGCTAAATACAGGAATGCCAACAAAGGAGATAAGCATGACGTCATAAGGCAGACCACTCTCAAAGAGTACCACAGGCAGTACATCCGATAAACTGCATGTGTAGCCAGGTGTGATGGTCCACTCCTGTGATGGTCCATGCCTATTCCCGGCATTAGGGAGGCTGAGGTGAGAAGGCAGATCTTTCAAGGCCAGACTGGCCTTGCCGTCAATGTCCTCTCACCACTCAGATTAGGGAAGAAGACTATCTGTCTCTTTTTCATTGTGCAACAAAGCAGACAAGCATGTGTGAAAATGTAGGCCAACAAGACCTATCAGGCATTATTTAAAACAGAACAGTGGGAAAGCACCCTCCTGGCTGCTAGCCAGCTCTTCGACATTCTCCTTAAATGGATATAAACAAGTCTTTAGAATTGAATTCCCAAGTCTACCTTACAACATGATACTGATTAAAAATATTTCAGGTATTATCACAATCAAGAAACAAGTTACCAGAAGCTCACGTTTACGAGTCTTCAAAGGTTTGACATAATTAAAGGGCATAGATACAATAAAAGCGAAAAAGAAAAAAAGAAGAGTCCGAGTGCAAGCATTTACTGCAAAACTCAAATGAAAGTACAGAACCCGCCCATTATGAGAGAAGTTAAGGACAATGGAACGTTGTCTTAGAAACTAAAAGCCATTTGCTCTTTGCACAAATCAACATGGTTTACGTTTGCGGTGTTTCGCCATCAGATTTCCAGGAGGACTAGAAGGAAGACAAGAAAAGTCAGTCACAGACCGAGGCTCCTGGCGGCTATGGCAGTCACACCAGGCTGTGACAGTACCTGGACCCCACCGAGTCCGCCGCTCCACGCTCCTCCGCGCTGCCCTCGGCTTCCGGCTGGACAGCCGCGCGCCCCGCGCCCGGGACCCCCGGACAGAAGAGGCCCGAGCGTGCCAACCCGCGCAGCCCGGCCTGATGGGCGAGCAAACCGCGGGGCTCTCAGCTCGGAGCCGCTTTCCTCTCCCCAGGCCCTCGGCGCTCCCAATTCCCGCGACGGCAGCGTTTGAAAGCGCGCCTCGCCTCCTGATTGGTTGCCGGGCGCGCGTCATACGCCGCGCCTTCGCTCCACCCCACCCCGGAAGCGCAGCTTTTTCCGCGGGACCCTCCGCTCTCGTCTCCTAGGCAACCACCCGCAAGGCCCGCCCGCCCCCTCTCCTAGGCGACCGGCCGCGCCTCCCCGGGGCGGTCTCGGAGCTCACAGCCCCGAGCTGGGAGGCAGCACGAGAAGGGGCGGGCCCTCAGCTGAAGGGTTTAAGCCAACGCGACGGCAAAGGGTCTATCGGCCTTACCATTTCGCAGTAACGCTTATTGCGAACGACTTTGCGTCCTCACGTTAATTATAATAACACCATGGTATGTTATACGCCAAGTCGTTGAGTGATGACGTGGGCTAAAGTGTCTAAAATGAACTAAAAAAAATTAATGCTGAAAATCTTGTCAGGTATTAATGTTATCCCAGCAGGTAAGGTAAATTGATGAGGGTTGCTGTTACTAAACTCGTGAATGGTTTGACCACTAGCAAGTGGTCTGGCTGGAAGTCCAAAGCTGTTGCGGTAGAGGTTACAGTAACATTTTGAAACTAGAAAAAAGGTAATCGCTAAGACGCCCAGATCAGTAGAGTGATCCTAACCAAATATTTCTCCAAATTGACTGTATGGAAATAATAGAAATTTATTCAGTAAGACAGAGAAGGAAACCAGAAGTAGCTTCAACTATATGAAAAATTACAGGACAAAGTCGTTATTTTTCTAATATTTGTATTTGTTCTTTGACAATTTCTGTTTTATGTACATGAGTGTTTTGCACCGTGTGTGTGTTCCTGGTATCCATAGAGACCACAAGAGGACTTTGGAGCCCATGGGACTGTAGTCAGAGATGATTGTGAGCCACCATGTGGGTGCTGGGAAACGAACCCAAGATCAAGAACACGTGCTCTTAACTGATGAGTTCGGCACTCATTCTTAAAGTCCTAAAAAAAAAAAAAAAAAAACTTACAATCTACTTACAGGGAAATCCCCCGCCAAATATAGTGCTTAAGAGATCTATTGAGAAAAAGACTAATAAACTCAAATACATAAGAATTTAAAAATCACATATAACTCAAAAAATGAAAGTATAAGATAACTAAGGAAATTACGAGAGAGAAGTAAAAACTTCTTTCAACTTATGATAATTTTATAATAGACTATAACCTGGTGCTTTTGAAGTTTCATTCAAAAAAGAATTGACATAAAGACAAAAATAAGTCATATAAAACAAAATGCAAGCATTCCAGACATTAAAAAATAGATATGTGTAAAAAAATCTTTTTAAGTTTTGGGGCTGGTAATTTTGTACAAAAATTCAAAGTCTAAATTTTTAATCCTAAACATTGGTGTGTTTCTTGAGGTCAGAGGCCATGTAAGTTCAGTGTCTCTCTATTGCTCAGTATATGGCCTAATATATATATAAAGTGCTCAGTAAATATTTGTAACAACAAATTCTTCTAAACCATGAAAATAATAAAGATATCCACATGTCCAGACCTAGTAACTATATGAAAGAAATTTATTCTAAGGAATGTCACAAGAATATTTCCTATTTTTATTAGGTCCAAACTTGAAAAAGTCTAAGATCCCAATCACAGTAGGACACTTTGAATGCTTAAAAAATTTGAATTACAGTTATTGTGTCTTTTTGAACTATATAGTAATTGAGTTGGATGTGGTGGTTCCCACTGGTAATCCTAGGACTTAGATGGAAGAAGGAGAATTGCTACAAATTTAAAGCCAGTATGGTGAATTTCAGGGCAGTCTGGGTTAGAGTAAGACCTGGTCTCAAAAAATAAAAAATGTCCTAAAGAGTTACACAGAAATTAAACATTAAATAGGAGCGGGCAGTAATTAGACCAAGCTTTAATGTGCCACCAAACTGTGAGCTTGAAGTGAAGAAGGGCCTTGTGGCCCTGGTGACTGACAGGAGACCCTCATCTACGCACACTTCCATTTTACTCTTTAGGAATTCATGATTTATTTCCACAGGGTTATGTTCGACAGGGCCATCTGGAGATGCCTGGAGCTTAGACGAGACAGCTTAGACAAAAGATGTCCATCTTTTGGTTATTTAGCTGAGACAGCACTTTTCTCTGTGAATCTTGTCCAAAGTTGGCTAGCAGAGAAAGTCACTTAGCCTCCAAATGACTCAGGTCTTCATCTGGAAATTGCAGATGCGAAAGGTGCCCATCCTAAAGAGCCATAACGAGGATTCACTCAGTTAATGTATGCTTAGCATAGAGCCTGGTGCAGGATTAAAGCTCACCAAATGTTAGCTCTTAAATTGTAGGGCCTAATGGAACTCTCTAAAGTGCCAAGAAGCCATACTCAAGGCCAGTTTGGGGCTTCCTAAAAATAATGACACATTTTATGAATGATGAGAATAATGATCTTAAGCCCTAGAAATAAACAACTAGAAATTGTAGGTCCTTTTATAATGGCTCCACTATGGTCAGTTAAAAGAGAACAAGAAAAGATTGTTGGTGCGGGGCTTAGGCTGCTCATTATTTTGCTCATGTGTAATGAGGTTGTTAGGAAGCACAGGCCGGGTGCTTTTCCTTGAAGGGGAACAAGAAGGAATCTAGCAAATGAAAATTTGACCAGCACAAGGTAGGGAGGGTAAGGCAGTTGAAAGTCCCCATTTCAAGCCTGGGCTCTAGCAGTGGCAGTCAGCCTCCCACCTGACTTGCGGGTATAGCACATTCTCCGACCTTTGAAAGCCCTGCCAGGGTAGAGGGAATACTTAGCTATCACCAGCAGAGCAGCTGCTTACAGGGCCCCATGCTTTCAAGTCTGACTCATTCAAGCAGTAGTTGCTTTGGGAGACAGAAGAACTGTGGCCCACTGTCATTGCTTTACTTTCGTCACCCTTTGCAGTGGCAGTGGCTGTTGTTCTGCTGGTATTTACTGTTTATTTCACAACCATAGACAATTCTGCAGTCCAGTTACACTGGGAGGGAAATAAGGAAAGTGAAGGAACCTGAAATAAGGAACCTAAAGCCCCATAGGACATTGAATACAGTGAGCAGACTGTGAGGGGTTCCTCCAAGGTGTTTCTAGAAGGAATAGGCTGATAGCCAAGAAAAAGACAAAGCAGAGGTATTAGAGCTGTCCATCATTGCCAGTGGTGGTCTTCCTCTTGAGCCTCAGTTGCCACGGCCACCTGTCCGTGCCCTGTTCACCTTCCCCATGACCACATGCAAGCTTTCCATACAGCTACCCATGCTTGGCAGTCCAGCCGAGAAGCTGGGAGCGGATGGTGTTAAGTCCTGCACTTGTGTTGGACAAGATGCGAGGACCTGTCTCCCTCAGGATGTCTCTCTGCAGATGCATTTGCTGCCCGTGCTACTGCGGCCCACCAAGCCACCACCACATAAAGCCTGGAATGAGCCTGTGAAAATGGGATGTTTATTAGCTAGTTCTTTCTCATCAGAACTCACCAGGGGAGTTCCTGTTATTTTTGGTACTTTGTCTGCACACAGCTCAAGAGCTGCT